CTATCTATCTATCTATCTATCTATCTATCTATCTCAATCTGTTCATATCTATCTATCTATCTATCTATCTCAATCTGTCCATATCTATCTATCTATCTATCTCAATCTGTTCAGATCTATCTATCTATCTATCTATCTCAATCTGTCCATATCTATCTATCTATCTATCTATCTCAATCTGTCCATATCTATCTATCTATCTATCTATCTATCTATCTATCTATCTATCTATCTCAATCTGTTCATATCTATCTATCTATCTATCTATCTATCTATCTATCTATCTATCTATCTCAATCTGTCCATATCTATCTATCTATCTAGCTAGCTAGCAAGCTACTGTTTCAATCCTCTTCTGAAATAGTAACTGCACCGCTGTTGTAACATAGTGTGTAAAATAAAGGAGACAATTTTTTAGGTTAAGGATTAAAAAAGAAGAAAAAAAAATTCGAAACTAATAAAGCGTTACACAGCTTGTCAGAATATATCATCTTTCCGAAATGAAATATATTTGACAGGGTCAGTTGGCAGTCACATTTCCAGCAAGAAAATAAAAAGGAAAAGAAACAGAATATGGCCCTGCCTTTTCACATCGCCTGGCCCCTATTGATATTGGACATAACGTAATTAATGGCACCTTACAGAGAACCAATTGTATTGTAGGAAGAATGATTAATCTTCCATTCAGCAAGGCTCTTCATGTAACAGTCGAGGCCAGCACACGGGTTTCACTCCAACCCCCAAATCTATAATACGTGGCTCCCACTCAACTAGATCCCAATTTTCATAAGGTAGGTTTCATATAAAATACAAAATGCATTGTAAACTACTTATGTACAATCATGGATCTTATCCAATATAGGTGAACAATTGAACTCGAAATATTGAAAATAAATACAATGTATCTAAATAGAAATTAGAGACATGTTATAATAGATCATTTCATCTTAAATAAATCAACAATCATTTACATTATTCGGACTGTTGTCCTAATCTTTATTGCCATATTCACGACGTTTCGGCCGTTGTACACTCCGGCCTTCTTCAGGTGATTGGAATTTTGAACTAAACCCCTTATTTCCTCCAGCGGGGTAGACTGTTCTAGTTCTACGTGTCATACCTCTTGCGGATATTTTTTTTTAACTCAACTATCCAAGTGGATAAAAGCGTTGGTCGGATCGAGTGACTTGGCCCAAAGAGCCGTGAATTCAATACCTAGAGACTGCAGGGGTGAGCCAAAAACTTGGAGCATTGAGTTAAAGGGAGATAACTGAGGTATGACACGTGGAACTAGAACAATCTACCCCAGTGAACGAAATAAGGGGATCAGTTCAAAATTCTAATCACTTGAAGAAGGCCGGAGCGTACAACGGCCAAAATATCGTAAATATGGCAATAAAGTTGAGTAAAACAGTAAATAATTATATTAACTTATCTCAGAAATATAGACAGAAATCAACAATGTTTCGCGGTAATTCTTAATATCAAGTCATGCTGCTTTTCTCCATTTTTAGAGGCGCTATATTAGAACAGAATTTAGGTATTGCTGCCACATCTGGACTGACGCTACCCAAATCTTCACTATCCAGCGCTGTCTGGGTTCAAAAGAGATTTCGATGATAAATTATCTTCCACCATAAAACCCCTTTTCCCACAGAAGAAATGTTGCTCACCATTCTCTATTCTATTGCTTTTTTCATGACAGATCCACAGAAATGATTCATCCTCATTCAATACATATCCATTTGCATAGATAAATTTCGTTCTATTGTGGAATGAACTCCCGAGAGGATGCTTCCCGATCCCGACAGTCATAACGATTTCAAAATCTAACGACAACTCTTGTCTATCCTCATAATATGCTACTATTGATCCCTGCCTAAACAACCTTTCAACAACCTAATTTGATAATTCCCATGAGCTTTGTGCCGGTGAACAATAGTAACAGAATGTACCCTACAAATATTTTTTGAAAACATTTATCATCCAAGTTTCAAAAAGTTCCTTCCACAACAGTCCAGATTTGACAAGTTTGTCCATTGGCATTTCAAATATATTGAAATACCGTGCATGAGATTATTAAAGAACACAGCGAGGCGGTGGAATATTTACAGTAGACTGTGGATTAAGTGTGAAATCTTTGAAGATGAGTGACTTGGTATATATATATATATATATATATATATATATATATATATATATATATATATATATATATAACTCCAGGTGAGATTTGTCAGACAATGCATGGTGCGCGAACACCGTCGCTGTTTTGGTCTTTTCCTGGAGGAATAAAAGCTCCCATTTTCGTATTACAGCTGCCGACCGCCTGATGATTGCTTAAAGGCATGAAACTTATAGTGGTCGTACTGTGTATACCTGAAAGAAGATGATTCTTTATATATATATATATATATATATATATATATATATGATAAAATATAGTTTGAAGGTATGCTATATTTATGGGTTAAATTTCTCAATATCGGGGATACAGCAT